TCATCTGCTTTCACGTTAGCGTTAACGTTTTTTTTTTTTTTTTTTTTTGGACTTTTATCCCTTTGCGGTGCGTTATAGTGAAACGCGCCATTTTTGCATTATTTGTGTGCTGTATCGGTGCAATATTGTTTTGTTTTTCTTCAAAAGCTAAAGTGCACCTCGGACTAAACATTCCAGACAAGCTCTTGTTATGATCTAATCTGAGACATTTCTTTAAACCAAACACTTTAACCGAATTTCTTAAAAATCAAAACTGTTAAAAATGCCAAATCCTTCGCAGGTACGAAGGATTTGAAAGATTCGTGGGTAGCAAATCCTTCGTAGGTACGAAGGATGTGGCATTTTAATCCGTAAGGTTTTAACTGTGTGTGACGATGCATCGTCCCCGGGTAAACGGTTTGCTTTTTAAATTAATTCCCTGTTCGTATGTTACCCACGTTTTTCACGGCGTAGCATTTACGGGTTTACGTCTTTGATACATCACATTCTTATTTTTTTGTTGGAAGAATAAAGATAACAACAAGCATCGAGCAATGGGACAACCAACCGGTCCAGCAGCAGCAGCAGCAGGCGACATACAGGGGCCCCGCTGGACGGACAGGGTCACCGGGACAAAAGCACTGCTGCGGTGTGCCACGAGCCACGCGGTGCCTCGATAATAGGACATCACTCTCACACTAACACACTCACACACACGCGGAGGCCATATTGTGGTGGCTCCTCCACGACATCCATCATAATGTGTCAAACGCCCCGTGATTTGGCGGCGTGAGGTCGCGTGAGGTTTACAGAGAGTGGGGAGGGGGTGTCTGCTGCTGTGGGGGTGACATACGCGGAATGAGGAGGAAAAAGCAACCAACACACACATGCCATTATACATCCATTTCCATTATGAGAAGGTATCGTGACTGATCGCGGCGATGGCAGCACCGCACATGGGCAGGTCCACAAAATGTTTGTGTATCTGTCTCTTTTTGTTGGCCTTCGCTGATTCCTCGGCATTGCGTCAAAAATGTAATTTCTGAAAAATATCTTATCAAACTTTCTTTTTTACGCATCAAACCAATCCCTCCATGGTATTGGAACTGTTTCTCCAACAATAATATGAAACGTTTGAAGAGTTCTTCACGATGCAGAGCATACTGTGCTGATTTTGTTTCGAGTTTTGGTCGTGTTCATTTCATGCAGCCGGGTTCAAGGGCGTTTAGGAAGCGGGTTCGTTGTCCCCCCCCCCCCTCTCTCTGTCTCCCGTCTCCCTCTCTGGCTCTCTCTTTCTGGCTCTCTTTCTAGCTCTCTCTCGCTCTTTCCCACCTACCCCTCGCTCGCTGCGCCTCCTCCCCCTCCCCCTCTCCATTAGCGCCGAATGAGAGCAACAGGGATAGAGGATGATGATTCGAGGCGATTGCGTGACTGAATGACTGGAGTGATCAAATCTTGGCCGAAGCGCCCTAATTGATTAGACGGTCTGCTTTGATTGGTACATCAAAGAGATTGACTCGAGGGGCCCGCCCACCGCCGCCCACCGCCGCCCACCGCCGCCCATCGTCACCGCCCACCGCGTCGCCGGACAGTACAGGCAATGGGGCGTAAGTGACTGAGACACAAACGCTATTCAACGCCATGAAACTGTTCGAGTCGTCTCACGTTTGGTGGAGAAAGGCCGCGCTCGTCGCGTCGCGTCGACGACCTACTGAGGTAAAAGTTACCCTGCCACTAAAATATTGCCCTCGTGGCTCCCTGTCTACCTAAAGATTTTTGACTAAAAATGAGAAAAGAAATAACATAACCAACTGACTCCGCAACAGAAACCGTCACTGAAGCTGAAAATGTCGCATTAATAATTAGCACTCCCAATGTTTGGCTGGCTCCATTGAGTATGTGACGTGATGCCAGGTTAGCTTTCGTCCACAGTTTGTGTTGTTCTTAGCGAGAGAAGAGGAGAGAGAGAGAGAGAGAGAGAGAGAGAGAGAAAGAAAGAGAGAGAACCTCACTGGGATCACCTGGCCAGCAGGACACAGGGGCTCCCGGGGTGGTGTTCGTCCCAGCGGGGGGGACGGGCGCCCTAGACACACGAAACCGATTGGGGAGCGCAGAGTTGGAAAAAAAGGGAGAGAAGAGCGTCAAAGAGCTTTCGCGATTACCTCTCGCAGTCGTTGTCGGTAGACAATCCAGCCGCGCGCAGACCGTCCCGTCCCTGGCAGGCCACGCTGTGAACGTGTTGTTTTTAATCAGGTTCGGGTGCACCGTCCTCCTGATCGCAGCAAATATAAGCGTCAAAACTGATGCTTACCCCGCGGTCTGATCCGCTAATGGCGCGTATAAGGGGGGGGGGGGGAGACTCGGAGATAATGATGAGCCTTTGGGAAACTGAACCAACCGTGAGTGTGCGGAGAGCGAGCGAGAACAGCAAGGGCAGCTCGATCTAGTGCGGTAGTTGGTACGGAGGGGGTGGGGGGATTGCTTTGTGGGAACAAAGACTGCGGATGGAACGGAAAAGGGGCAATTGAACCCCACTCATTGCGCCCAACCCCCTCCCCTTTCTCCGTGCTCGACGTCTCTGCTTGTCTTTTATCCCACTGAGTTGGTCACTGAAATCCAGGCGAATCCAAAGGTCCCGTCTCGCCGCGTCTCGCAACATTTTGTTCAGGAGTCAGTATGAGACGGTCGGCTGCTGCCTGCTGAGATTTGACCCCCTTCGCGCTGCCCTCTCCTTGTGATTACTGTCTTTCACCCCATCTGTCCCTTACCCCCCCCCCCTCCGTTCTCTCTCTCTCTCTCTCTCTCTCTCTCTCTCTCTCTCTCTCTCTCTCTCTCTCTCTCTCGTAATTAATCGCCGCCTTTTATGTCGTGGATGAAAGGAGAAAGGAGTATAGCGATGATCCCATCATCATCCCATTGTGCTCCGAAAAGGAACGAGAGAGAGAGAGAGAGAGAGAGAGCGAGCGAGAGAGTTGCACAGGGGACGGAATCCATCCTGCTAAGTGAGCGCGCACGGCACCTGGGCAACTGCTCCTGACCCGCTGCAACCAATATCACCGGGACAGTCGTTCGATACTTCTCGGCGCGACTGTAGTACAGTATAATAATATCAGCGCTAACTGTAGGCCTACTGGTATATTTTTTTTGTGTAAACGTTTGTGCTAATAACACGTTGAGTCACACGTGTGGTCACAATAAGCTGTGGTTGCGACTCCCTATGAGACTCGACTCAACGTAATAATAAGTTAAACCTATAATTTCGTTTGAACAAATTTTTGCGCAAGATTTTGTACAAACGAAGACTGTAGTATAAGCATTTGGAACGCAAATTCATT